TTATAGAGAATATAGAATCATTGAACTTCCTAAAAGTATCTTAATTTTCCTCATACTTCCCCATCTCCTCAAATTAATTTTTCAAAAATTTTGGTTTATTTTTATTTTTTGTGAGCTTTCCAAGCATTCTTTGCAACAAATTATACTAGTCTATCATACAGACTATGAAAACATTTTTAAATATACATCTGTCTTGATTTGCCTTTTTGTTATAATTTAAGGAAGAACATGTAGGTGAAACTGAATCCTCTATTATGTAGAAGTCATGAAAACAATTGTATAGAATTAAAGTGAAATTCATATTCTGAAGTTAAATTCTGCCTCCTTTATATGTTTTGGGTATTTACAGGCCTAAACTTATCAGTAGCCCAAATAGTATTAATAATGTTAATTAAGCATCAATGTTATAAAGTAAAATTAAGTAACAGTTAGTTGGAGTAATGCTTTGTGTCCTTAGTTAAAATAACACTGACATTTATTCTCATTACAGTCATTATTTTTCTGATTCAACTTGTATTATTCACACAGACTTTTAATTATTTATATGAAGGTTGCTGTCAAACATGAAAAAATCCAGAATATTTTCAGATTACAAAGGCAAGAGGCATGAACTTTTTTTTTACCTTCATATATATTATCCTACTTATTCATCACAGTAATCTAAAGCCTGAGTTATTTTATTTCTCGATATATGAGGTTTCTGATAGATGAGTAGTTTGTTAAAGGTGACAACTCAAAATTAGAATGACAAGGTTAAATTCATGTCTGTATATGCTAAGGCTACCTTCATTGTTCTCTTATTTCTATACATAATTTACCTCCATTGTCATAATTGTCTGACAAGAGAGTAAGGTATAACAACATTTTCATTCTCCAGTTCCAATTTTCTGAAACTTTGAATCAAGAATTTACAGCAAATGATTGAAGAACCAAAGAGTCCCCAAAACTGTGTAGTGGCATCATGAAATGCATGCAATGCAACTTCTAGTTTATAATCTAAATCTACTGTAGAAGAGGAGGATAACTAAAGAGAGATTGATTTATTCAATCAACATATTAATTATTTCTCTACTCTATGGTAGACATTTTTTTGAAGAGACTAGGGATACATTGGTAATCAGAGGCAATAAAACAACTTGTTCTCTTAGAGTGTATTTCTAGTGGACAATAAATAAAAAGTATCAACAAAATATGTAATTTAGGCAAGTGCTAAGGAGAAAAATAGTTCAGGAATAGTAGAGAATCAGAATGGGGAGAGATGTTTACAACTTTAGATAGAGTGAATCAGGGAAACTCTCTGTGAGAAGGTGACCTGACCTTTGAATGAAGGACTGAAGATAGTAGGTAAGCCAGGCAGATATCTTTCAGAAGTGTATTCTAGGCCAAGGGCACATCCAATACAAAAACTCTGAGGCTGGAACGTGCTTGACATATTCAAAGAACAGAGCGGGCCAATGAGGGTGGAATGAACTGAATAAAGGTGAAAATAAGAAATGGAAATGATACACAGGGATACACATCTTATAGTTCTTTGCTGACCTTTATAAAGACTTTTTTTTATTGAGATGGATGAGAGACATTGGATGCTTTCATCAATGAGTCGTATTATATGACATACACTTTTTTTTAACTGTTCTGATGAATGTAGAAGGGGGATATGAGGATCAAAGTAGGAAGATCAATTAGGAAGCTACTAAAAAAAATCAGGTGGCTCAAACTAATTTGGTACAATTGAGGTGATAAGAGGCTGCCAGAATCAGAAGGCAGGACCTACAAGATTTCCTGATGGGTTAATCATAGTGTGTGAAGACAGGAATCACTATGACTCCTAAGTTTCTGGCCAGAACACCTCAAAGATGAAGTTGCTATTTACTGAAATGGAGAAAACAGAGGGAAGAGCAGATTTGAGAGGGTGGGGAGTGGAGAAATAGCTTAGGATGAAGGGCTCAGTTGTGGACATATAATCTTTGATACCTTTTAAACACTCAGGATTAAATGAATGCTAAATCCATACTGACATAAAAAGGGTCAGCTCTAAGGTGATTAGTTCTGAGTGGGATTATTATAATCATTCAAAAACAAATATTTATTAAAATTTTTATATGTCAAACCCAGTACTAAGTGGTGGATATATTAACAAGGTATAAGATTTAAAAGATCTCAGGCACATAATGGTATATAATTCTTGCGCTAGGTGGTTGATTGAGTTTCATGGTGCTCACCAGTGTGGAACCTTGGAAATAGGAATGCTAGGTCCATGACCACATTGTTAAAACTATACTTAGTCGTTTTATTCAATTGGCTATCCTCTTGAAGGGGGTTTGGTTGTTTTCATGGCTTGGTCCCCTGGAAGTTCTAGTGTGGCAGAGGCAGACAATTATAAAGAAGACTATACTAACAGCTCTTATTGGTATTTCATCCCCATTGTTCTTTTCCCTTCATGTTACTGATAAAATTCTAGTTGTGGGTCGTATCCAACGAGCACTGCTGTCACAGTGCAGCCAGCATACACAACATGCTGGTATTGATGTTTTCAGAGCTACACAGTCATATCTGAAAGGCGAACTAATCACTAGACTTTTTGTTTTCTTTGAGTGCTGTGTACTTTTTGTGCTGATGTTTTGACATCTGGCATTCTTCTCTTAATAACTCTGCATGGGGTTTTTGAAGGAACTGTGAAGGCACTAAGTAAAGTAAATACATTTCTAATAAGGCAAGCACCCAGAAAAGTACAGGATTTTTTGCTTCTATTTTTTTTCTTTCCTTTTAGTATTTTAGGTCTTTAGGATACATTTGAGAATGTATTATGCCTGCGATTTTTCCCATTATGGAAGACTGCTGTGCTGAAGGTTGGTGCTTGGTACTCAATCACAGCATCTTTCCTTTGAGTCAAAGCAGAGAGCAAATAGCCTTCTGTTCAGGGAACCAGGTAGCACTAACCACTCTCCACTCTCAAATAGTAAAAGTAATTTAAGCTATCAGAGGCCCAACACTACTTTAGTAGTATCCCCTGGAGAACAAAGCTGTTAAAGCAAAATTTTATGTGGTTTTCTTTCATGATTTCAGCTCCTTCTGAGAAATAGATCTAGAGTTATGCAGGAATATTTCAAAACTATTTCATTGACAGTGTTCTAGCAGAGTTTTTTTAATCAAATAACAACTGTGAAGTCATATCTGGCAATATGAGAAGTGCTATGATTCAAGTTACAGCGTGGTACCTCAGTTGTGAGAAGAATTTTCACATTCAGAATACTCTTTATATGTGGTTTGTGTAAAACATAAAAGTGTGATGTTTGAATAAAAACAAATAAAAATGAAAAGCCTGGATATTTACGTGTTTTTAGGGAAAGTTGACATTGTGGAAAACAACTAAATCTAGTAATTCCCATCCTAAATTAAAAATCAGTGTTTATGATTTACATAGTTAAAAAGGCATCAACTAGAAACACATCTTTTTACTTTCTACTAAAAAATTGCCCATGCATATGTTACACTTTTAGTATTTAGACACATATCCATAAAAATCAATGTCATTAATTTATGTCTTTTAATATTTTATATATATAGTATTGTATCATACACACATTTTTTTTATTTAAAAAATAAAATATTAGGCTCTGACCCGTGTGGCTCAGTTGGTTGGGTGGTGTCCCACAAAGCAGAAGGTTGCTGGTTCCATTTTCAGGGCACATGCCTGGGAAGCACTTTCTTTCCCCTGTAGGGATGTATACAAAAGGCAACGATCGATGTTTCTTACATCAATGGTTCCCTCCTTCTCTTTTTACTTCCCTCTCTCTAAAAATAAATAGAGCAACTCTTTTTGAAAAATTAGACTTTTGAGAAATATCCATGTCTCCCACTATAGATATGCAGAATACTGATTTTCTACTACTCTCTAGAACAAATTAATCATTATTAATTTATTCATTCCCTTGGTGATGGAAGTTAGGTGTTTAGTCCTTTTCAAGAAACCTAGAAAGAAAAGAGGAATGGGCAGTTATAGATGATTTCCAACTCTGCTCCAACATCTAGGCGCACTGATGTGTTGGCCCACTGTAAATTCCGAAGCTTCACAGAAGTGGTTTTGAGTGGAGGCACATTACCGTAGGTTCTAGGACTGCTAGGAATGTTAGAACAAGGACAGAAATGATAGCGGACAGACCAAGGAACATGGCAGACATGGAGCTCACACAACTACTTTAACAGAAAAAAACACACACACACAATCTCATACAGAAGTTTTCTTGAGCTTTTTCTTAGCTCTATATGCTGTCATCAAGTATAGTAATTCTAAATACTTATTTTGAATCTGTGTATAACAGGATTTATTTATGCAAAATACTTCATGGTTGGAACTTCCTGATCTCCTGAAGCCATTTAATATGAATATAAATCTAGGAATATCCTCATTCCTTTATATCTTCCACTAAATAAATGGCACAAATATGTGGCTATTCATCAGAATTAACTGGGTATCTTTACAAAAATACACACTTTTATAACTCAACCTTGGAATACTCTGACAAAGTATAAGGCAAAGGAATTATATTTTTATAAAAATCCCCCAGTGACTCAAAAATCATTTCCACAGTTGAAATACCACTATGTTATTTGTATAGCTTAATTTTTAAATCAAATATTTCCATAATAGTACTTGTTTAAAAAATTAGCCTAGAAGTGATATGGGTTGAAAAACTTTTTTTAAAATCATCCAGAATTCAGTTGATTTGCTTCAACTATTTATATTCTGAAAATGTATGTAGCTACTCAAGGTGCAAACGCTATTGACATCCCTGAATATCAAACAGGTGTATACCTCAGAGAAAAGATAAAATGTTTTACCTATGAACTAGAAAACCCAAACAATTATCTTATTCATTGTGTATGTGGAGAATATTTAGTACATTATTAAAATTGCATGTCATTAATCCAGGCCCTTGTAACTCTTTATAATTGGCTATGCATATTTGCAACTTACGACTTTCCTGTTGTATTCCCAGCACAGTGATGCAGTCCATGACCTTCTTCTGGATGTGATCACATGGGTTGGAATTTTGCTGTCCCTTGTTTGTCTCCTGATTTGCATCTTCACATTTTGCTTTTTCCGCGGGCTCCAAAGTGACCGTAACACCATCCACAAGAACCTCTGCATCAGCCTGTTTGTAGCAGAACTGCTTTTCCTGATTGGGATCAACCGAACTGACCAACCAGTAAGCAACTTACATTGATATGAGTAAAGAATTTCTCCACTTCTAGCTGTGCAGTACTGGCAATACTCAAGTTTGAAAATACCCTCCCTTCCAGTTATCCAAGATTGATACTAACTTTCAAATCTTATTCAGTTTCCCCCTTGTCATGTTCCATTGTCATAAAGCAGCAGCTAATGCTATGGATGGTATGAATGTACATTTCCTCGGAAATTTGTTTATAAATCTTTTTAAAGAATTGTGTGACTTTATCAGATTTTTTTATTCTTTTTAAAAAACTATAGAGCTGAATATTAAGAAAAATAAAATATGTTGGGGAATGGAGTAGTATGTTTTCTAATAAATATAATTGTTATTTTTTGAAGTTTATAATACATTTTGTTTAAAAACTGTGGATATCATATTAAAATGTATGCCTAAATAAGTTTTTCTAATTGATGTATTTTGGAAAATTGATCAAACTTCAGGTAAATTTTTGAATATATAACTCTTCCAAATTTTGTTTGGTAATTTATATCTGTTCAAGTTCTGTTCACATCTTTAAGTGCCAGCTTCATACTTTAATATGATTGGTACCTGCATTCAATCACATTAAAAAAGATACAAAGGGAGGGTGGGAGGAAGGAATGAAGGGAGAGAGAGACAGAAAGGAACAATACTAGCTAACTGTTCTTGGTAAAATGATACCAAAAATGTAAATAATGGAAAATAGATAATATACAAACCATGCCCATTTATAATTTTGTGAAACCCTTCATATTTAAGATTCAAGCACATAGTAAAGTTTGTTCTCATGTCTAAAATTGCAAATGAAAACTTTCTTTTTTAAAAGACTCGTAGGCATAATGAATAATTCATTCACTTAATGCTATTTTCTAGTATGTGTCCTTATGTATAGAGTACTTTACAATAAACATGCAGTGGCGTTTGTGTTTGTGATTACACATTCATGATTAATGGCTGTAAAAGCTACAATTATGCTGACTATACTTTTAATTGGTTATATATAAATGTGACAGACAGCTTTTGCCATAAACACATACATATGAATACACAAAGTACACATTTCTTTTGCCCCCAAAGTAAAACTTTCTGATAAAAAATAATAGTTCAAATTCTAATTCTAAAAAATAAGAAATTGAAAACTGTTTTATGTTGCAGAAAGAAATCATTTTATTTTCTTCTTAACTAGGAATTCAAATGGCATGTTATTTCTTTTCATTTAGCAACCGTATTCTTATTTTTGCTTCCTGATGTTACACGCCAAATGTTGCATACTGCACAAAACTGACTTCTGACAAGAGCATGAACGACAGTGTTTGATATGAAAACCTTGGGTAGAGTGCAACCAGCCCAACCTGTCTCTCCTCTCACTGTTGGACAGGTGTCCTCTTCTGCATCACACGGTGGGCCGGCTCTGCTTTCTCTCTAGCCCTCTGATGCTGGACTTCCTCCTCTCACCCTCCCCGTCATCTCTCAGAAACAAAGAAACTGACCTCTTCGGTCTCATTTCTCAAGGATCACATAAGTCATTGAATCCACACTAATCTGATAAGACCTATAAATTTGTCACCCTTTTCTAGTAGGAGCTATAGATTTTAGTTAAGACTTTTTATAAGAAATGAAGATGCCCTCCAAAGGAGTGAACATTTTAGGAACTAACATGAGAAAATTAATATATGGTCAGCTGGAACTTGTAGTACATTATTAAATATGCCAAACAAAATAGTTCACACTGTTTTAAACTATTGGCTGCCTTCTCTGACCAAGCTTGTCTAGAACAATATTTAGTACAATAACAAAAAATTGAGAGAGAAAGCACACCTGGAACACTTTATTTTAATCAGATCTATGTTTATGCCTATGTAGCATGAACTTTCCAATGCTACCTTGTATCCTTTCTGAAACAAGGCAGGGAAGAAATAAATTAGAATTAATAATAATGGATTAATCATCTATTATAAACACTGTAATTACTTAATTTTAAGAACTTTTCTTCTTGCTTTTAGTATTCTCTTTTATTTACTAATAATTAATACATTAATACATGTGATACGATCAAGAAAAAAAAATTCCCAAGATTGATTTGTAAAATCTTTAGACTAATCCCATCGATAAGTATCAGTAAACTCTTAGAACTTTTTCCAAATACTATGTTGTGATCCACCAGCCATTATTAATAAAATGTTAAATATCATTTTCAAAGACAGGTTATATTTAAGTAAGTTTTAATATCTGAATTTTAAGAATCTCATGCAGATTATTCTTTCGCAGACCTGCATTTTTACTGAAGTCTTGATAAATATTTATTTTCATTTTAGGGTGGTTGATACTGTTTCCTTAAGGAGTTGTTTGACTAAATCACTTGTCCCTCCCCCTAGATCGCCTGTGCAGTCTTTGCTGCTCTCCTCCATTTCTTCTTCCTGGCCGCCTTCACCTGGATGTTCCTAGAGGGCGTGCAGCTCTACATCATGCTGGTGGAGGTGTTTGAGAGTGAACATTCACGCAGGAAATACTTTTACCTGGTCGGCTACGGGATGCCGGCGCTCATTGTGGCGGTGTCAGCTGCAGTAGATTACAGGAGCTACGGAACAGATAAAGTGTGAGTTGATGTTCTCTTTCTTTTTTTCTCACTTTTAAATATACTGGAAACAAAAGCTTAGAATTTTCCCGATAGCTAAGGTCTTTTTATCACTTCACAGCAATCAGTGAAGCAACTGGAGAACCAAATGGGATAACTCAATTCATGGTTGTACTTTTGTTATAATGCAAAGAGAAAAAAAAATGCTGAGACTCAGTATGATGCTGTTTTCAAACAGCACGCTTTTTCATTATCTTAATTATAACCCTGAGTAATTAGGAAGAAATGATTATTTTAGTATTTTTCAGGGCATTGAGGCATGTGTCAAGTGGGAATTAAAACTGTGTTTCAGAGGACTGTGCTGTCCTGACACTAACGGCTTCTCTTCTTCCAGACATGTCAGTTATAGTCACTGGTGAGATCATTAGTCATTAACAGAAAGAAAGGAGCATGGGGAATTTGTGTTTTCCCTTTTCTTTCCCCAGGTGGGTATTAGGGTATAGTGATAAATTTTATTTTCAGTGTAACTTAAATCGGTGAGATACGTATGCGGAGCTGTCCAGCATACTTTTAAGGAACTCCATGAAAAATAGTTTTGTAATCCACTTCAATATAACATCTGGCATCTTGAGAATGAATAAAAGATTCAACAGGAAAATATTAGGAAGGTGGCCAAGATAGATCTCTGATGAATAGCCACATTTAGGACATAGATTGGATGTTGAAAATTGAAAATAAAAATAGGAAAGAGAACAGGTGAACAGAGCCTTAGAAAGAAAACTACCAGATCAGGGTCAGGGAACATGAGAAAAAAGTTTCAAGACGTTGTTTCAAAACCATAGTTTTTTTTGTCAAAGTTAACTCAAATAGGGCAAGCATTAAGGGAAAATCATTTGACCTTTGCAACAACTATTTTGATAAAGTGCTAGAAGCGAAGACCAAATTAGAATGTGTGAAAGGAGATAAGTCACTAAAAAGCAGTCTTCAAGTATTATCTACACCCTGAGGAAGTTTGATTGAGAGATAGTGAAAATATTAACTCACGATAACAGTAATACAGAAAGATTAAAAAAAAAATGGAGCTCTGAGCTTATCTAATCTGCAAAGCATCAAGCTGATAGGAGAATCCTACAGAGAAAAATGCCTCATTTTTTAATATATATATATGAAAGGAAGTTTCTAGAAGGGTAGAAAGGCCTAAGATTGGGTATAAGATGAGAAAAACCTTGATTTGGTACTGAAGTGTCTTTAGTATCCACCAACTCCAGATGTACCCATTGGCTTGCTTATGACTACAGAGCTAAAAAGTGGCAGACTTGTGATGAAACAAGTCATGTTTGTTTCCACCACACTGGGGTGTTTCTGAGATGGTAAACATCTCTCCTGGGGTGAGTGTGGAGAGAATACACACAAGGTGGGGCAAAAGTAGGTTTACAGTTGTGAGTCCATAAAACAATTTATTTTTGCATTATTATTTCTTAATCATTGTATTATTGTTTTCTACACAAAGAACTGTAAACCTATTTTGCCGCACCCTGTAAGGTAAATTTTGAAGTAGAAAAGCTTTCCCATCAAGGAGGAAATGCTGACTTCTGCTGAGTAGTCAGGTGGGGTCATCCTGACAGCACAGGGGGTTTGAAAGCTTTGAAAAGAGCACTACAGAAAATGTGTTAAGGAGCTAATTAGACTTTAAGAAAAAGATGGCCAAGCAGTAGTGATGCCTCGGGTGAGGTTAGGTAATATCCATTTGTTCCAGAGTTAATAGGCCAAATTTTGTGACTTTTCTATCATCAATCAGTAGCCTGAATATGCTGGCGATGAAGCAGCTCACTTCCTGCAAGAAAAGATTCTTGAGGAGGAAAGAGCAAGAGGAGGACTCCAGAGTTATTGGGGGGATAGTTAAAGTAGAATATATGCTGGCCCAGGGAGACCAAGAATATGATTAAAAGACCATTTCACTTCTTTTGAATATTCTTCTTGAGTACAATGACAGGTTGCAGAAAGCCCTTTGTCTCAATGTAACTAATAGTAATTACTCTTCAAATCTAACGTTGTGAATTGTGGTTTATTTTGTGGATTCCACTGACAACTGTGAAACAGATTAGGCATGCATAAGAAATTATCTAGCGTTGCCTGTAAAGACATTTTAAAGAAGAGGTATTAGGTAGGTCATGGGATTTTTACAAGTAACATCTTTGTTGATATAATTCACATACTATAAAATTCACTCTTCAGTCATTTTTAGAACATTCACTGTATTAGGCGCCCATCACTTCTAATTTTAGAACATTTTCATCACCCCAAAAAAGAAACCCGTGAGAAACAACTCTCTTCAAATCATAGGATTTTATGTTTCAATCAAAGCATTTCCTCTTTAAGATATTAAATTGAATGTCATACTAATTTGTGACCTTATGCTACTTCAAATACTGTGTTTGGCAGTTTGGTTTTGCTCCTTTGCAGTTCCTTGTTTTTATTTATATTTTATGTTGATTTTTTTTTCTCTTTGGATATTTGCAAATTTTCCTGTTAGGGAATTAACTCAAGTTTTTTTCTTTGTGTTTTAGTCATTTATTTTGAGACACATGTCATTTTCTGGGTAGTAAGAATCTATCTTTTCTTAGAGTCAATAACATGTAGTCCCTTGTGACTTTGTTAAGGCTTGGGCCATCATTGCTTTAATTTCCTGCACCATAACTGGAAGTTCTCATTTACTGATGTTATTACTTCATGGGAACAGAGGCTAATTTATTTCCCAGGCACTAATTTAAAAATAAAAAAAGCTTTAATAATAGTTCAGTTTCACAATCACAATTTTTCCGAACTCAAAGAGAAGTAAAACAGATAAACACAAAAGAGATGGTAGAGAAAAGAAAAGGATAGGGGTAATTGCATTAAAATTCTATCACAGCCCTGGCTGGGTAGCTCACTTGGTTAGAACATCATCCCAATATGCCAAGGTTGCAGGTTCAATCCCCAGTCAGGGCACATACAAGAATGAACCAATGAAAGCATAAATAAGTGGAACAACAAATCTATCTCTCTCTCTCTCTCTCTCTCTCTCTCTCTCTCTCTCTCTCTCTCTCTCTCTCTGTTTGTAAAACTAATACATTTTTTAGAAGTATTTAAAAATTCTATTACAGACAAGCATAGAACATTTAATGTCTTATTTATATGTTTGAAATAAAGTTTCCACATATGGGCTGTTAGAATACGTGGAAAAAATGTTTTTCTACTCTAAGAGACTTCATTCAATCTAATAGCTGCACAGTGCTGTTTGCCCATCAATAAAGCAGGTATTGAAAAAAGAAAACTTATTCTACCATTTTTATTTACTTGAGAAGCTGAAATGGGAAGATCATGTTCCATCAGGAGCTTAATCAAGATATCTTCCCAAAGAGAAATGTAAGCAATGAATTTTTACACAACTTGAAGGATGGCTGCATGTGTATCTTGTTCCTTATTGTGAAAATTCTTTGTTGTTCCTCCTCTGTTTCCCCTTCCTGCACATTCATCACCACATGACTTTTAAAATGTAGCACTACTATCTCAAGGTTTTTGCTTTGTTGTCCATGTTCTCATGTGCTACACTCAATTTCTCATACAAATATGTAAACATCACAGTCTTAAAAAAACTAGACTTAGCAAGAATTTGGACACATATTATCAGCAATTTTCTGTAAATTCTTCTTAAGATCAATGATTTTTATGTCTTGGCAGTATCTTTAATTAATTAATTAATTACTTTTTGGAACCTCATCATTATTAAATGTTCACTCCTTAGTCTGAAACATTTAGAATGCATATAGAATAAAGCCATTCAATGGCTTTACAGTAATCCAGATAATGGATATGGCTCCTCTTTTTCTCCTCTTAACTTATGTGGCTGTATTTTATTATAGTGACAATGAGGTTTTATCTCTGAAACCTTTAATAATAGCAATAGCCTACATTTCTAGTAGAAAATCATATCAATGGTAAGAGAAAATTGTTTTGGTAGGTTAAATAAATATTTTTTGGTACAGATAGTGGTAACTATCTTATTCCATGTGACTGATGGATTGGGATGTGTTTTACTTTGAAATGTTATTAGGGATGTTAAATTGGTTATTATATACAAACCACACACACACAAAGCATACTCAATATGATTTTGAGAAGTTGTTCAGTTTGCCATCAATTTGCAACGCTTGTAAGAGAGGCCTGCTATTATTTTCTGATGTTACTTAATAAAATTTTTATCTGTACTGACATTATTACTGAGAATGACTTAACACTTAGTCATGAATGACAGTGTGACTTAACAGTCACAATAATCAGACATTTACAAAATTCGATTAAAGACCAGTGGAGTCATTTTAAAAATACTAACTCCCAGTAAGTGGACCACAGGTCTAAATTGCACTGTTAATAATTGGCATTTATTCCATTTTATCTATTTGTGTATCTTCCCTTAGTTTCATTTACATCATTATATATGGCCATTTAGTGAGGCCACCTAATATGATACTGTCAGAAGATAAATGCAGGCATTGACTTTCCAACTATTCAGACAGGACAGATTTGGAAATTCAGGGCTAAATACTTTGATATCATAACCTGAAACTAATCTTTTCATTTAAACTTTAATTACCTCAGTATTACCACAAAATGCAAACAGTTTGCACAGCTGATATGTTTCCAAGAAAAAGGTCACATTTATAGTTTATAGCACTTGCCTTGTACTCTGAATATGTAACTGAAAGAGCAGTAATTCATGTGGTGGGTAGATTGGAAAAGGAATAGAAGTTGGTTTCAAGAGGAGGGAGCATGTTAGGAAGGAGCAAAGTCCAGAGAATATGCTGAAGAGTTCAAGTACAGGCTTGGAAATTTGTAAGAGGTTTCTGGAAGATGTCGATTGGGTTGTAATCATTTATAATGGATCAGAACATCCTTGAGTACTAAAAGCATAGCCAAGCTCTTAAAAATAAGTGAAATCAAATTTTATGATCTGAAAATTTGTATAAATCATCTATTAAGTC